AGGGAATTCCGGCGGGAAATGAGGGAATTCCGGCGGGAAATGAGGGAATAGCCCCAAAAAATGGCCGGAAACGACAAAAAAATGCCGTTTTTTGATAAAAGGAACTCCGGAAAATCCGGGTTTCTTTTGCCAAATCCCCCCCCCAAAGCTGGGGGAGCCTCAGATCCCAAAAACAGACCCCAAAGGTCAACTGTTGACCCGAAACTCAACCACTGAGCCCAAAACTCAACCACTGAGCCCAAATCTCGACCGTTGACCCCGAATCTTGACCATTGACCCCAAATCTCAGCCGTTGACCTCAACTCTCAACTGTTGACCCCAAATCTCGACCATTGACCCCAAAACTCAACCGTTGACGCCGAATCTCAACCATTGACCCCAAATCTTGACCATTGAACCCAACTCTCAATGGTTGACTCCAAATCTTGACCATTGACCCCAAATTTTAACCAGTGACCCCAAATTTCAACCCTTGACCCCAAACCTCAACCATTGACCCGAAATCTCAACCATTGACCCCAAATCTCATCCTTTGACCCCAAATCTCAACCAGTGAAACCAAATCTCAACCAGTGACCCCAAATCTCAACCCTTGACCCCAAACCTCAACCATTGACCCAAAATCTCATCCAGTGACCCCAAATCTCAACCAGTGACCCCAAATCTCAACCATTGACCCCAACTCTCGACCGTTGACCCCAAATTTCAACCGTTGACCCCAAAGCTCAACCATTGACCCCAAATCTCAACCCTTGACCCCAAATCTCAGCCGTTGACCTCAACTCTCGACTGTTGACCCCAAAACTCAACCGTTGACCCCAAATCTCGACCATTGACCCCAAAACTCAACCGTTGATGCCAAATCTCAACCATTGACCCCAGAACTCAACTGTTGACCCCAAATCTCAAGCGTTGACCCAAATCTTGACCCTTGACCCCAAATCTCAACCATTGACCACAAATCTCAACCGTTGACCCCAAACCTCAACCATTGACCCCAAATCTCCACCATTGACCCCAAATCTCCACCATTGATCCCAAATCTCAGCTGTTGACCCCAAAGCTCAACCATTGACCCCAACTCTCGACCGTTGACCCCAAATTTCAACCGTTGACCCCAAAGCTCAACCACTGACCCCTCTCAGGTGGGTCTTGACCCCCCGGCTCACCCCAATATTCCCTTTTCTCCCCCCGCAGGGCTGCGGNTTCTCCCCCCGCAGGGCTGCGGGCGGCCGTGACCCTGGTGGAGTCCGGGGGCGACCTCAAGGCCCCGGGGGAGTCCCTGCGGCTCCTCTGCCGCGGCTCCGGCTTCACCTTCGGCAACCACGGACTGTACTGGGTGCGCCAGAGCCCCGGGAAGGGGCTGGAATTCGTTGGTGGGATCGACGCTTTTGGTACCACCTTCTACGCGCCGTCGGTGAAGGGCCAGTTCACCGTCGCCAGGGACAACGGGCAGAGCTCGGTGACGCTGCAGATGAACAACCTCAGGGAGGAGGATTCCGCCACCTATTTCTGCGCCAGACGTGCCGGTGCTGGTTGGAGTGCTGCTGAAGGTATCGACGCCCTTGGCGGGGCCCCCACCTGTCCCCAAACCAACCCATTGGGGTCAATGAGCAAGACTTTGGGTCAACGGTTGAGATTTGGGGTCAACGGTTGAGGTTTGGGGCAAAACCAGGCAAAGGTCGGGACCAACGACCGAGAGCTGGGTGGGAAGGGTGGAGGTTTGGGGGGAGGGTCTGGGGACCCCACCAAGGGGGTCGATATCATCACCCATAACGGCATTGCCATCAGCATTTCTGGCGCAGAAATAGGTGGCGGAATCCTCCTCCCTGAGGTTGTTCATCTGCAGCGTCACCGAGCTCTGCCCGTTGTCCCTGGCGATGGTGAACCGGCCCCGCACCGACGGCGCGTAGTAGGTGCTACCACCAGTGCTGTGGATCCCAGCGACCCACTCCAGCCCCTTCCCGGGGCTCTGGCGCACCCAGTTCATGTTGTAGCTGCTGAAGGTGAAGCCGGAGGGCCGTGACCCTGGTGGAGTCCGGGGGAGACCTCAAGGCCCCGGGGGAGTCCCTGCGGCTCCTCTACCGCGCCTCCGGTTTCACCTTCGGCAGCTACTCCATGCACTGGGTGCGCCAGAGCCCCGGGAAGGGGCTGGAATGGGTCGCTGGGATCCAGTACAATGGTTGGTTCACCGCCTACGCTCCGTCGGTGCAGGGCCGGTTCACCATCGCCAGGGACAACGGGCAGAGCTCGGTGACGCTGCAGATGAACAACCTCAGGGAGGAGGATTCCGCCACCTATTTCTGCGCCAAAAGTGGTTATGCCAGTGCTGGTGGTGCTGAAGGTATCGACATCGTTGGCGAGGTCCCCACATGTCCCCAAACCACAGACCCTCCCCCCAAACCTCCACCCTTCCCACCCAGCTCTCGGTCGTTGGTCCCGACCTTGGGCTGGTTTTGCCCCCAAATCTCAACCGTTGACCCCAAATCTCAACCGTTGACCCCAAATCTCTGCCCTCTGCCCCAAATCTTGACCCTTTGCCCAAAGCCTTGGACAATGATCCTTTTGGGCCAACAGGTTTGGTCAATGGTTGCAGTTTGAGTCAATGGTTGAGATTTGGGGTTAATGGTAAAGATTTGGGGTCAACAGTTGAGATTTCAGGTCAGTGGTAGAGGTTTGGGGTTAATGGTCAAGAGTTTGGGTCAACGGTTCATATTTGGAATCAGTGGTTGAGATGTTGGGTCAATGGTTCTGATTCAGGTCAACGGTTGAGATTTGGGGCAAAACCAGCCCAAGGTCGGGACCAACGACCGAGAGCTGGGTGTGAAGGGTGGAGGTTTGGGGGGAGGGTCTGGGGTTTGGGGACAGGTGGGGACCCCACCAAGGACGTCGATACCAGCAACATCACTCTAGTAACCAGCATTGTAACGTCTGGCGCAGAAATAGGTGGCGGAATCCTCCTCCCTGAGGTTGTTCATCTGCAGCGTCACCGAGCTCTGCCCGTTGTCCCTGGAGATTCTGAACCGGCCCTGCACCGACGGCGCGTACTCGGTGCTGGAACCACTAGGAGCGCTGATCCCAGCGACCCATTCCAGCCCCTTCCCGGGGCTCTGACGCACCCAGAACATGTCGTAGCTGCTGAAGGTGAAGCCGGAGGTTGTGCAGAGGAGCCGCAGGGACTCCCCCGGGGCCTTGAATCTCAATCACTGACTCCAAATCTCAACCATTGACCCAAAACTCAACCACTGGCCCCAAATCACAACCGTTGACACCAAGACTGACCCATTGACCGCAAATCTCAACCGTTGACCCAAATCACAACCACTGCCACCAACCTTGACCTTTTGCACAATTTGGGGTAATGAGATTGAGCTTTGGGGCCGATGGTTGACACGTGATGTTAAACCAGTTGAGTTTTGGGACAGAACCAGTCACTGGGAGGGTCCCGGCCCTCACAGGAGGGTCTTGACCCCCCGGCTCACCCCAATATTCCCTGTTCTCCCCCCGCAGGGCTGCGGGCGGCCGTGACCCTGGTGGAGTCCGGGGGCGACCTCAAGGCCCCGGGGGAGTCCCTGCGGCTCCTCTGCCGCGGCTCCGGCTTCACCTTCAGCAGCTACGGAATGNTGGGCTGGTTTTGCCCCAGTTCTCAACCTTTGGCCCCAAACCCCAACTCTTTCCCCCAAATCTGAACCGTTTACCCCAACACTCAACTGTTAATTGGAAATCTCAACTCTTGACCCAAATATCGTCCGTTGACCACAAATCTCAGTTGTTGACCACGAATTTTGGCCGTTAACCCCAAATCGGAAACGTCAACGCAAAATCCCAACCGTTGATGCCAAATCTCTGCCCCCGGCCCCAAATTTTGACCCTTTCCCAAAAGCCTTGGGCAGTGCTGGGTTTGGGCCAATGCTTTGGGTCAAGGGTGGAGGTGTGGGGTCAACAGTTGAGATTTGGGTCAACAGCGTCCTTGGAGATCGTGAAGTGTCGCTTCACCGACGGCGCGTATCTGGTGGTACCACCACTGGTGTGGATCCCAGCAACCCATTCCAGCCCCTTCCCGGGGCTCTGGCGCACCCAGTTCATAGCGTAGCTGCCGAAGGTGAAGCCGGAGGTTGTGCAGAGGAGCCGCAGGGACTCCCCCGGGGCCTTGAGGTCACCCCCGGACTCCACCAGGGTCACGACCCTCCCAGGTGGGTCTTGACCCCCCGGCTCATCCCGATATTCCCTTTTCTCCCCCCGCAGGGCTGCGGGCGGCCGTGACCCTGGTGGAGTCCGGGGGCGACCTCAAGGCCCCGGGGGAGTCCCTGCGGCTCCTCTGCCGCGCCTCCGGCTTCACCTTCGCCAACTACTGGATGTTGTGGGTGCGCCAGAGCCCCGGGAAGGGGCTGGAGAGGGTCGCTGGGATCTGGAGCAGTGGTGGTACCACCTACTACGCGCCGTCGGTGAAGTGACACTTCACGATCTCCAAGGACACTGTTGACCCAAATCTCTACTGTTGACCCCAAACCTCAACCNGGTTCACCATCGCCAGGGACAACGGGCAGAGCTCGGTGACGCTGCAGATGAACAACCTCAGGGAGGAGGATTCCGCCACCTATTTCTGCGCCAAAAGTTCTGGTGCTGGTGTTTATGGTGTCTATGGTATCGACCCCCTTGGCGGGGTCCCCACATGTCCCCAAACCCCAGACCCTCCCCCCAAACCTCCACCCTTTAGACCCAAATCTCAGCCATTGATCTAAAACTCAACCATTGACCCCAAACTTTGACCATTGACCCCACTTCGCAAATGTTGACCCAAAATCTCAACCATTGACCCCAAACGTCGACTGTTGACCCCAAAGCTCATCCCCTGAGCCAACCCATTGGGCCCAACCCAGCACTGCCCAAGGTTTTTGGGAAAGGGTCGAGATTTGGGGCAGGGGGCAGAGATTTGGGGTCAGCGGTTGAGGGTTGACGTCCGGGGTTGAGATTTGGGTCAATGGTTGAATTTTGGAGTCAGGATCGATGCTTGGCAGTTGCGGGACCAAGTTGAGCTCAGTAGCCAAAATATTCGAGATTTGGTGCAAAGAGTTGGGGTTTGGGGCAAAAGGCTGAGATCTGGGGCAAAACCAGCCCAAGGTTCAGAACAACAACCAAGAGCTGGGTGAGAAGGGTGGAGGTTTGGGGGGAGGGTCTGGGGACCCCACCAAGGGGGTCGATATCATCACCCATAACAGCATTGCCATCAGCATCTCTGGCGCAGAAATAGGTGGCGGAATCCTCCTCCCTGAGGTTGTTCATCTGCAGCGTCACCGAGCTCTGCCCGTTGTCCCTGGCGACGGTGAACCGGCCCTGCACCGACGGCGCGTAGAAGGTGCTACCAAAAGCGTCGATGCCACCGACGAATTCCAGCCCCTTCCCGGGGCTCTGGCGCACCCAGTACAGTCCGTGGTTGCTGAAGGTGAAGCCGGAGCCGCGGCAGAGGAGCCGCAGGGACTCCCCCGGGGCCTTGAGGTCGCCCCCGGACTCCACCAGGGTCACGGCCGCCCGCAGCCCTGCGGGGGGAGAAAAGGGAATATCGGGAAGAGCCGGGGGGTCAAGACCCACCTGTGATGGTTGGGACCCTCCCAGTGACGGGCTCTGTCCCAAAACTCAACTGGTTTAACATCAAGCGTCCACCATTAGGCCCAAACCTCAATCTCATTGCCCCAAATTGTGCAAAAGGTCAAGGTTGGGGTCAGTGGTTGAGATTTGGGCCAATGGTTGAGATTTGGGGTCAATGGTCGAGATTTGGGTCAATGGGTGAGTTTTGGGGCCAACGGTTGAGATTCAAGGCCCCGGGGGAGTCCCTGCGGCTCCTCTGCACAACCTCCGGCTTCACCTTCGGCAGCTACGCCATGGAGTGGGTGCGCCAGAGCCCCGGGAAGGGGCTGGAATGGGTCGGTGGGATCAGGAATGATGGTGGTTACACCGCCTACGCGCCGTCGGTGAAGGGCCGGTTCACCATCGCCAGGGACAACGGGCAGAGCTCGGTGACGCTGCAGATGAACAACCTCAGGGAGGAGGATTCCGCCACCTATTTCTGCNGTTGTCCCTGGCGATGGTGAACCGGCCCTTCACCGACGGCGCGTACTCGGTGTAACCACCAGTGTTGGTGATCCCAGCAACCCATTCCAGCCCCTTCCCGGGGCTCTGACGCACCCAGTTCATGGCGTAGCTGCCGAAGGTGAAGCCGGAGGTTGTGCAGAGGAGCCGCAGGGACTCCCCCGGGGCCTTGAGGTCGCCCCCGGACTCCACCAGGGTCACGGCCGCCCGCAGCCCTGCGGGGGGAGAAAAGGGAATATCGGGATGAACCGGGGGGTCAAGACCCTCCTGTGAGGGCCGGGACCCTCCCAGTGACGGGCTCTGTCCCAAAACTCAACTGGTTTAACATCAAGTGTCCACCATCGGCCCCAAACCTCAATCTCATTGCCCCAAATTGTGCAAAAGGTCAAGGTTGGGGTCAGTGGTTGAGATTTGGGTCAATGGTTGAGATTTGGGGTCAATGGTCGAGATTTGGGTCAATGGGTGAGTTTTGGGGCCAACGCTTGAGATTCAAGGCCCCGGGGGAGTCCCTGCGGCTCCTCTGCCGCACCTCCGGCTTCACCTTCGGCAGCTACGCCATGGAGTGGGTGCGCCAGAGCCCCGGGAAGGGGCTGGAATACGTTGCTGGGATCAACGCTGGTGGTGGTTACACCGAGTACGCGCCGTCGGTGCAGGGCCGGTTCACCATCGCCAGGGACAACGGGCAGAGCTCGGTGACGCTGCAGATGAACAACCTCAGGGAGGAGGATTCCGCCACCTATTTCTGCGCCAAACGTTACAATGCTGGTTCCTGGAGTGATGTTGCTGGTATCGACGCCCTTGACGGGGTCCCCACATGTCCCCAAACCCCAGACCCTGACCCCAAATCTCCACCCTTCCCACCCAGCTCTCGGTCGTTGGTCCCGACCTTGGGCTGGTTTTGCCCCAATTCTCAACCTTTGGCCCCAAAATTCAACTGCTGACCCAAATTTCGACTGTTGACCCCAAATCTCTGCCCCCTGCCCCAGATCTTGCCCATTTGCCAAAAGCCTTGGGCAATGTCCAGTTTGGGCCAATGGGTTTGGCCAATGGTTACGGTTTGGGGTCAGTGCTTGGGATTTGGGTCAAAGGTTGAGTTTTGGGGTCAACGGTTGAGGTTTGAGAGACAAAGTTGAGCTCAGGGGCCCAAATCGTTGGGATTTGGGGCAAAGAGTTGGGGTTTGGAACCAAAGGTTGAGATTTGGGGCAAAACCAGCCCAAGGTCGGGACCAACGACCGAGAGCTGGGTGTGAAGAGTGGAGGTTTGGGGGGAGGGTCTGGGGTTTGGGGACACCGAGGGGGTCGATACCATAAACATCACCACCACCAGCACTGTCACGTTTGGCGCAGAAATAGGTGGCGGAATCCTCCTCCCTGAGGTTGTTCATCTGCAGCGTCACCGAGCTCTGCCCGTTGTCCCTGGCGATGGTGAACCGGCCCTGCACCGACGGCGCGTATCTGGTGGTACCACCAGTGCCGATCCCAGCGACCCATTCCAGCCCCTTCCCGGGGCTCTGGCGCACCCAGAACATGGGGGAGTCCCCGAAGGTGAAGCCGGAGGCGCGGCAGAGGAGCCGCAGGGACTCCCCCGGGGCCTTGAATCTCAACCGTTGACCCCAAATCTCAATAGTTGACCCAAAACTTGACCATTCATTGGAAGTCTCGGCCACCGACCCCAAATCTCAACCATTGACCCCAAACCTCAACCATTGACCCCAAACCTCAACCATTGACCCCAAATCTCAACCATTGACCCCAAACCTCAACCGTTGACCCCAAACCTCAACCATTGACCCCAAACCTCAACCATTGACCCCAAATCTCAACCATTGACCCCAAATCTCAACCACTGACCCCAAACCTCAACCACTGACCCCAAACCTCAACCGTTGACCCCAAACCCCAA